AGTGTCCCAGTCCCAGGGGGTGAGGCTGCCAGGGGCACCAGACCTCCTCAGGGAGCAGGTTTATGGAATGGGTGTGGGGAAGGAAGCTTGGAGGCAGGGACCCTTGCTTGTCACTGCTCTCACAATCCCCTAAGCCCTTCTTTCCCGAGGGTGCCAGGACCAACACCAGAAACCCCATTTGGCCTTCCTGTCTTCCCTGCAGGAGGATCACAGGCATACATCCTGTCTCATCTCCCCCACCCCCACCCCACCCTGTCCTGACCCACTTGCCCCTGCTTCCTGTAGGGTCAAGGCAGTCTGGATGTCAACGTGGGCAGCGCAAGGGCCCTCCAGGCACTGCTGTTGCCAAGAGTTTGGGCCAGGCAGGCGGGGGAGGGGGCTGGGAGGATGGCTCTGCCTCTGATAGTACCTGAGGGAGAGAGCAGAGGAGCGAGGAGCTCAGGCCAGGCGTTGGGTGAGGTCCCGCCCCGTGGTGCACTGGCTTTGCCAGCAGTCTGCCCGCACTCCACTCCTCCCACAATGGCCCCATTGTTCCCAGCAGCCAGGCAGTTTGGAGGAGGTTCCTTGGTCACCCCCATCCCCCAAAACAGGGGCCAGATTAACCCCTTGGAGGACAGAGGCCAGGTGAGGGCCCACAGGGAGCTGCCCCTGCCCATCCTTCTTCTTTCTGGGAATCCAAGCTTGGGAAGTCACCTTCTACCCACGTGTACTGAGCAACAGGGCACCTCCTGAGACTGGGGTCTCCCACAGGGTAGAGAGCAGCACCTAGACCCTCTTCCACCCCCACCCTGGTGCAGGTGCCAGGGGGCAGGAAGTGCCAGTGGGGTGGCAGGGCGGAGACCAGATATATTTGTGCCGGTGGGGCTAATTCCAGCCACCACCGCCTGTCCTACTGGCTCCTGAGCGCCTTTCCTTCCTGTGAAACCAGAGCTGGGTTGGGCCTAGCTCAGGATTTCGGTGGATTTAAAGCAGCAGCACCATCCTTGCCAGCCTGGCTTCCTCTCCCCCTCCCCAGGTGGGGCCTGGGGCAGAGAAGGAACTGGAGGGCTTCTGGCTCCTCCCTTGCCCCGGGCTAACCCCTGGCTCTTGCCCCTATTGGGGTACCAGGCTTTTGGCACTCCCCTCTCCCAGAGCCTTGGGTGGGTGGGGTGGGCGGGGGTGGGCTGTGGTTTCCTGTGCTGGCTGTTTGTGCCTGGCCCAGAGTGCCCGCCGCCTGCCTGGGCTTCCTGCCCTGTCTTGTTTCCTTGTGCCCCCTACTCCTCCTCCCCCCTCCCCCTGTGGAAGGGAGCAGCCAGGGATAGGGCAGCAGCCTTTAGGGGCACCCCACTGCCAGGACAAGACTGCTTCCTGGGGCCTGGCTACCCTGGCACTGGCTGAAGGAGTCAAGAGAAGTGAGGTGACCTCAGGCCTGCCCAGGCAATGCCACTTGTTCTTGCAGGCTCCAGAAGGGTAGAATCCCCCAGAAGCACCCTTTTCAAAGATCTCAGACAAGAAAGGTCTGGAGTTTCCATGGTCCTACAGGGCTGGGGTTGCCTGATGTTACCGTAAGACTGCAGGTGGGGTAGGGCTGGAAACTCCCAGGCAAAAATGGCTGATTTGCATGGTCTCCCTTGCAGGCACTGGGGGGAAGTGGGGAGAGCTGCTAGGAACCAGAGCAAGGGGAAGGCCCCCCAAGCCTGGAAGTCCCCACATAGAGGGTCCCAGAGCAATACCTTGGTCCTTGAGGAGGTTTCCTGCTGGGCTATGAATCCTTGACCTCCCCACCTATCTTAGTCACCACCTCAGGAAGAGGAAGTGACCTGGGTGGTAAAGGGGAGCTTTGGGGGACCAAGGAGTCCTCACACCCAGGAAACCAGGGATGTGAGACTTGAGGCTCTATCTCCTTCATATGCTCCCAGCAGTGTCCTGTCTGTTCACTCATCACAGGGGGTCCTAGCAGCCCATTTTCCTCTCTAGAGGTGTCTGCCCACTACATGTGGGAGCATGGACCTTCCAGAACATTTCCTTGCCATATCTTTGTGGCAGCTGTGAGCTGGGCAGTGAGTCTGGTGGACCCACCAGCAAACCAAGCAGAGGCTCCCAGCGTGGGGGCAGCTGGAAATAGGCAGGTTGCCACTGGGTGTGTGAATCCCCACCATGCCTGTGGCAGTTCTGTGTTGAGTAGAGAGCCAGTTTGTCACCGGGCATTGAAGCCTTCCTTGTCTCCCTCCTACCTCAGGGTCAGGCCTGATTTAACCCTTAGGCTGCTGCTCCCCCAGATACACCGCTATCAGTTGCCATCAGGTTGATTCTAACACCTGGCAACTCCACATGTCAGAGTAGAACTGTGCTCCATAGGGTTTTCAATGGCCAATTTTTCAGTAGATTGCCAGGCCTTTCTTCTGGGGCACCTTTGGGTGAACTTGAACCTCCAAACTTTTGGTTAGTAGCCCAACATATTAATCATTTGCACTCCCGCAGTTACACAGAGGGCAGATGATCTCAGGCTCTTTGCCTCAGCAGCCTCCCCTCCTGGGGCTCCCTTCTCTTGGCTATGCTCCTGGCCTTTTACTCAGGCAACTCTCACCTGCTCCCTGTTTGTGAGCACATGTCACCCCTCCCACCCCAGCCCCTAAGAGGGAGCTACAGTGCTGTGTTCCCAGAGCCTCGTCCCTTTCCTCTCGCCCATCTCAGAAGCTCCAGGCCTGGTGCTGGGAAACCACTTTCACTCATTGTTTGTTTAAAAACTGCCCCACCAGGATCAGTCCTCCTGCCTCCCATCCCTGAGGCCTTCCAAGTCTCTTCTGGGACTGAGAGTCTGTAGAGGAGGAGGGGGTCTTTGGGAGCTGGGCCGGCTTCTGGAGGGGTGGAGGGAGTAGGGGGTGAGCTGGGAAAGTCCTGACTCATCCCTGCTTGACTCAGCTTGCCCTGCGGCTGGGTGGGGGCGTGGAGGTGGAATCCTAGAGGGGAGGAGCCTTGACCGGGGCCACCGGGAAGAATTAGTATTCTAACAACCCTTACCAAAATTATTACAGGTCCCCAATTTTTGAGATTGTAAACATATGAGGTGGTGGGTGGCCCTTGCTCTGTCCCTCCACCTGTAGAGGCTAGGCATGGTGGGGTGGCTGGAATGTGGGTAGCCCACATGTATGGTGCAGGCTCAGATGAGCAGTCCTGGCTCCAAGGAGACACTGCCGGGGTCCTAGTGCTGCCACTAACTGGCCATGGGAGCAGGGTCAAGTCACTTCCTTTTCCCAGATCTCAGTTTCCTCATTGTGAAATGGAGATAATAACACCTCTTGGGGTAATTCTGAGGATCAGTGAGGAGGTGAATGTGAAGATGCTGTGAACGCAGAGCCTGAGACACGTGTCAGCCACAGGCCTGCCCCTAAGCCCAGGTGCCCCCTCTAGCGACCCCTGCTAAGTAAGCTCTTTCCGGTGGCCCTTCCAGCTCAGAGGCGGGCTGTGGTGCAGGAGATGGGGCAGGCAGGCTACTTCCCAGCCAAGCCCTGGACTTTGGAACCTTTCCCAGAGGCCCCTTCCTCCCCAGAGACAGAGCCGAACAGGGAAGGCTAATGTGCCCCTGGGGTTAAGTTAGGGTTGGACTCTCACAGGGTGACTGTTGGGTCCCCTCACCAGTGAGGTCCCAGTACAGCCTCCAGCAGCTTTGCTGGGAGCAGCAGGACTGTGAACCTGGCTTCTGGCTGGGCCCATCACCAGGAAAAGGCCACCCAACCCAGACTCTTCCCTTCCCCACTCTTAACCCGGATCTGCTGCTGGGGTGGGGGGGCGGGTGGGTGAGGCTTCTGTGTTTGTGTAAGTCTGTTTCTTGGTGTATCTATGGCCCTGTGTGTTTCTCTGTGACTACTAGGCTCAACTTTCTAGGGCTCACTTGTTGTTGGTCCTCAGTCTTTTCATCTGTTAAATGAGTCCAGAGCTCTCCCTCTGGCCTCCGGCAGCCGCCCTGTCTGTGTGTGCCCCAGGCTGTTTTAGTTTCTGCTTTGGCCAGTGCTTCCCTCGCCCTCCGACGAACCTCAGGTTGCTTGGAGGGAGCGCAAGTCTAGTTTCCTGCGCTCCGTGCGTGTCTTTGTCTCCCTGTCCACGTGTGAGCTGCGACTGTGAGTGTGTGTAAGTCAGAGTTCGCGTGTTGGTTGGGATCTGAGCCCCTGCTTTGCTGTGCACAGGGCAAGGCCGCCTCTCGGCCCCACCGCGGCGCAAGCCCAGCTTCGGGCCCCTCCCGGGACCTGTGTGTCCGTCCGTGCACGCCCTTGTGCGTGTGGTGCGCGCGCGAGTGTGGGGCCCGGAGAATGCCACTGCAGTCCTGTCAGTCTCCCGCTGCTCGCACGCTGGCTCGCTCCCTGGCTCGCTGGCTCTCTTGCTCGCTCTGCCCTGCCGAAGGGGGCGGGGTGGGGGGGGTTGCAGGGCGGTCGGGGAGGAGGGGAGGCTCCTGCATTCTTGCGGTCGGGGAGGAATCTGAGCCAGCGTTACTGGTCTCCAGAAGAGCCCAGCTGCAGCCCCGGGGCCCCGCCAGGCCTCTCGCTGCCCGCCCGGGCCTGCTGGGATGGGCATGGGCTAGGCCTCGAGCTGGGGGCGGGGCAGTGCCCCCACCGCCCGGCCCCTTCAACTGCTGGGATGCCCCAGGGCAGGGCGTCGCGCTTAGGGCGGGACGTGAGGGGTTCCCCACCCGGGGTGAGGGGCATGCCAGGGAGTGGGAGTCCCCGGGGGCCAGAGCGCACCATACTGCCGCCCCACCCGGGCACCTTTTCCGTCTATGAATTCTGCCTCTGCAGCCTGGGGAGATTGCTAGAGACTGCAAGCTCCCTGAGGGTAAAGTGTGAGAGGGCTGGCTCTTGGATTGAGACCCTACCTAGTAGGCCTCCCTTTCCAGTCCTGCCCTACCACATCCAGCGTCCCAGTCCCAGGGCTATTGGGTCCTCCCTCCTCCCCTCCCCTGCCCGCACCCCCTCCCCAAGTTACAAGTTTTCTCTTTGGGGCTTGTTGCTGCAGTCCGTGCTCCAGTACCGAGTACCTGGCTGGGCCCTGGGCACACACAGGGGCCGTAGCCCCACTGTGTGTGGGAGCCATGAGGATCCTGGCTAACAAGACAAGGTGTGTGGGTGTCGTGGAGGGCGGGATGTGTGTGTGGAGTGCGGGGAAGGGAAGGGCCCAGTGGTGATGGAGCTGAGCTGCGCTGGCTTGGGAGAGGGACCCCCCCTGGGTGCTTGGCTTCCAGGCCTCCGGTGGGCTAAAGGGGGTCTGAATGGGAAGGCCCGCCCAGAGGCAAGTGCCCACAGCCAGCCCTAGTGCCTGCGCCCAGGGGGCAGAGGAGACTGGCAGCCACCTATGCCTGCTGCTTCTAGCCCCTTCCAGGTCTTCCCTCCTTAAAGCTGTTTGAGCAGACCCCTGCCCACCCCACTGTCAGGTCCACTGGCGCCCTCTGGCCCCAGCCTAGCTGGGGGTGGGAGCTGGAGTGGGGGACCAGGTCTGCCTCCCTCCTCCTCCCCAGGAGAAGCCAGCAGACAGGGCCAGGCGGCAGCAGCAGGACAGCAGAGCTGAAATAAATCTGAGCTGGTGTGGAATGAGGGGGGATAAATATCCTCTCCCGTGATGTGATCTTTCCAGCAGCTATTAATAGGTCTCCAGGGAGGGGGAGGTGGGGGGGGTGCGAGCCGGCTGAAGCTTAAAGGGCCCGCAGCCACAGCCGAGGCTGCAGGAATCTTTAGCTTCAGGCTGCACTCCAGTGCGCTTGGCTCACCACTCCCCCTTTCCTCCTGCGCCAGCCTGCTGCCCGCGCCTGCTGGCCCCTACCCTCTCAGGCCTTCCCCTCCCGCTCTGGGAACTGTCTGGAAGAGTGGGTACCACTCTCTGGTGTGAATTCCCCCACCTCCCTGGGGGAATGGGGCTGGGGCATGAGCTGTGACCCGCAGGTCCCATGGCCCTTCCCCGCTGGTGTTGCGACACATGGGAGTGAATTGAGGTTTGGGACCTCGGGAGGAGCCTGGAGACAGCAAACCCTAGAAGAGAGGATGCTTGAGTATTGGTCAGGTGCTAGTGGAGAGGGGTTGCCATGGAAGCTTGCAGTCTGATGGACATTGGAGGTGGGGGAGAGATTCTGCCAACTCAAGGCCCTGGTTTTCATTTGAATTTGTGTGTGTGTGTGTGTGTGTGTGCACGTGCATGCACGTGCACAGGTTGCCCCATCTCCACTCTCCAAGGTAGAGAAGGGCATTAGCCTCTGTCTGAGGGGCTATGGAAGGAGGTAGGGAAGAGTTGGTGGTCAGCTCCTACCACCATTAGGTGAGGCAGGATGGGGCAGTTGAATCCAGGGATGCCTAGCCTCTGGCAAGATTAACATTTTCACATCTCTCCCACCTTCTCCCAGGTTACCCCACCCCAGGAGGAGAGAAGCTCCAGGGAGTCCGCCGCTGTCCCCCCGCGGCCACTGCCCCCCTGCCCCAGCCAAGCCAATGCACCCAGAAAATAAATTGACAAATCATGGCAAGACAGGGAATGGCGGGGCCCAATCCCAGCACCAGAATGTGAGCCAAGGACCCACCTGCAACCTGGGCACGAAGGGTGTGGGGGCGGGGAACCATGGGGCCAAGGCCAACCAGATCTCACCCAGCAATTCAAGTCTGAAGAACCCCCAGGCAGGGGTTCCCCCTTTCAGCTCGCTCAAGGGCAAGGTGAAGAGGGAGCGGAGTGTGTCTGTGGACTCTGGAGAGCAGCGAGAGGCTGGGACCCCATCCTTGGAATCAGAGGCCAAAGGTACTCCATTTCCTGATCCCTGAGGCTCCAGCATCTTCTACCATCTAAGGCTCACACTTGCCTGGAGACCATCCTCCGCCCTGTGCCTAAGCCTCATCTGCTCTTTTCCAGCCTTTATGCAGGGGCAGCTTTCTCTTATCCCCATCACACAGCCCAACCTGAAACCTGGCCATTCTCTCAGGGTTAAGGTTGGCCAGGGAGGAGATTTCTGGGCCTTAGGTGCCACCCATGGAGGGGCCACCCAGGGTGGAACCTCCAACAGAGGGGTTTCTTGTCCCTTTTCCCTCCTGTTTTCCCACCAGAGCCTCTAGAGGGGGAGGTGCTGGGAGGGGCGGTGAGGAGCAGATCCGCACACCTCCCAGGAGCCTCCTGTATCCTGGGCTGGTAGGAGCCATTTGGGAGTAGGCACTGGGGCTTGGAAGAGTAGCAGCGGCTTCCCCCTACCCCCCCACCCCCACCTCCAGCCCTAATTAGAACCATTTGTGGTTGGGGATTATGTTGTGCTTGGTGCTGGGTGGGGGGGAGGGGAGACAGGCAGCCGGGCTGCAGAGTGAAATCAGAAACAAATGGTGGTGTGGTGGGGGCCAGGGGCTGGCAGGGTGCCCACCATGGCCCGGGCAGTGCCCTCTGGGGTGGGGCATCTTGGGGAGTAGGCCTGGGAGTGATGTCCCAGGCTGGTGCCCAGGACCCTGGGTGAGGGAGGGCAGAGCGTCTGGGCACTCCTCTCACCCTGCCTGCCTCCTGTCCACCTGAGCAGAGGTGGCACCTCGGAGTAAGCGGCGCTGTGTGCTGGAGCGGAAGCAGCCGTACAGCGGGGACGAATGGTGCTCGGGACCGGACAGTGAGGAGGATGACAAGCCCATTGGGGCCACCCACAGTGAGTGATGGTGGCCCAGGGGGATGGCTGCCCTGAGGAAGCCTCCCTCAACTCACCTGGGGCTTGAGAGGGCTGAGGCTGGGAAAGGAGTAGCAGGAATCCGGAGCCCAGGTGCCTTCTCTCCCATCCCACTTCTCAGACACTGTCCCTCCCTCCTCTGTGATAGCCTTCCTGGTACGTAGTGGCCCCCTCTCCCTAGGGACAGAGGTAAGGCCGCGTGAACCTCAGGTACCCCCTTTTCCTGGCCACACCACCAAGCCCTCTACCCATGAATTCCTGGCCTGTGCTGCCACCTACTGGTCAGTGGAGGGAGGCATTTGGGAGCCGGATAGTTGGCTCCGTTTTGCAAAGCTGTGCTAAGCCTGGGTTACAGCTGACACTTGGCTGGGTCTCTGGCACCCTTCCCTAACCTCTAATTGACTCCTGGCCAGTGCTTGGGGTGCACCAGCAGGACGATGAAGAGTGGGTGTGGATGGATGCCTGTTCCTCTCGTTCATTTATTGATGAAGTGTGTATTTGGGCCTTCCTCAAATGATAGGGGAGAACCAGACACAGCCCCTGCCCTTGGGGAGCCCATGATGCATATGAAACTAGCCAGAGGATATTCAGTTATGAACTTCTTGAGGGCAGGAACCATAGAGAGAAGGAAGAAAAAAGTATGCTGGCTACTGGTTTTATTTAATCCGTATGAGGTAGGCATGTTGTTATGCCTATTAGGAGGAGGAAGCAGACTCAGCAAACATCTGTGGAATGAGTGGATAAGTAATTGATGGACCATGTCTATAGAGGTGTTGCACAGGATCAAAATGCCAAAACCTATACAGCTGCCTGGGGCATTAAAGGTCATCTGGGCCCAGTCCCACCACGGGGTGGTTACCTGAACCCCCTAGTGGTAGATGGCGGTAAGACTCCCCTCCCCCATCCACATTTTATAACATCCAGATACACCATTGTAAAAACACGAAGACACCGGGAAGTACAAAGAAGAGATTACCAACATCCATACCCAATAGCCTGCAAACCACGATTACTATTATAAAGTAAATAGTAACCGTGTTGAAGACTTGAAGAATTCTTTTTTGTTAAATTTTTTTTTTATTGTTCTACTATAAGTGAAAGTTTACAATTCAAGTTAGTCTCTCATACAAAAATTTACACATACATTTGTTATGTGACCCTGATTGCTTTCCCTGTCCCGTGACAGCACATTCCTCCTTTCCACCCCTGATATCCTGTGTCCATTCAACCAGCTCCTGACCCTCTCTGCCTTCTCATCTCACTTCTGGACAGGACTTGAGCTAAGAAGCACACTCTTCATGAATATCATTTTATGTCCCATAGTCCAGTCTAATCTTTGTCTGAAGAGTTGGCCTCGGAAATGGTTTTAGTTCTGGGTTGACAGAGGGTCCAGGGGCCATGCTTTCCAGGGTTCCTTCAGTCTCAGTCAGACAATTAAGTCTGCTCTTTTTACTAGAATTTGAGTTCTGCACCTCACTTTTCTCCTGCTCCATCAGAGACTCTCTGTTGTGTTTCTTGTCAGGGTGGTCATTGGTGGTAGCCGGGCACCATCTAGTTTTGAAGAATTCTTAATGCAAGGGCAGTACAACGTAGAGGTTAAAGTGTAGTACAATGTAGAGGTTAAAGGCCAGGCTCTGCAGTCAGACTGCCTCGGTTTACATCCTAGCTCCTCCACTTATGTTTTTATAAATTTGGGAGACAGCCTCAGTTTCTTCAACTATAAAAATACTATTTACCTCATAGGGTTGGTGTGAGGATTAAATGAATCGAGAGAGGTAACGTGTAGAACAGTGTTCGTGTTTCTTGTTTTTATTAAAAAGCAGTTGCCTGTAGAGATTGTTGAATTGGTGTATGTTTTGTTGTGTATATTTTCACCACAATAAAAAAAATAAATAAAGTAGTTGCCATTGAATTGATTCTGACTCACGACAAGCTCATGTGTGTCAGACTAGAACTGTGCTCCATAGGGTTTTCAGTGGCTGATTTTTCAGAAGTAGATCACCAGGCCTTTTTACTGAGGTGCCTCTGGGTAGACTTGAACCTCCAACCTTTTGGTTAGCAGCCAAACATGATAACTGTTTGCACTACCCAGGGACTCTGTGGTTGTTGTTATTGTACTAGAAAGCTCCTTACTGAAATCAAACCTGCCTCCCCTGGCCCCCGCAACTTGTACCTAGGATCCTGGTCTTGCTGTGTACGCCTTCCCCTTCCCCAGCAGACCCCTTCACACAGTGAGGTCAGCTCTCAAGTCCCCTCAAACTTTTGGCCCTGTTCCCTGGTATAAGATTGGAGAGACAGGGTGCAGAGCAAGGCAGGGCCTCTGTGGGATGCGACTGTCAGAGAAGGTTAGTCCAAGGAAGGGAGCCTAATGCTGGGCCTGTGGAAAGCTGGCCACTGCCCTTGCTTAAGGGAGGCAACTTCTGGCAGTTCATTATTTTATACTAACTGAGAGTACTGTTACTGTCCTCAGGCTTGGCACTTTGACTTGTTTTTTCTGGAATGGGAATGGGTCTGTCCATTCAGCTAGACCCATTGAAGACAAACAGTAGTATTTTCTAGGCAAGAACTTAAAGTTTGTAGTCATGGAAGAGAACTTTTCTTGGTGCTGAGGGTGGCTGGTCTACCCGGGGAGTGAACCCAGTGTGGCAGCCTTTTCTAGCTCTCAGTTTTCCAAATGGTTTTGTAGTTTGTGACATAGCTCTGAACTTGCTGTAAAGATATGTTTCTTTGATCTGCCCCCTGTGTGGGGAGTAAGGTAGGGTTTCCATTTTATAGATGAAGAAACTGAGGCTCAGAGGATGAGGCATCTTAGTCATAGGCCACAAAGTAAGTGAGTGGTGAGGCTAGAATTAAAAGCCATTCCTCATGTGAATGGTCAGTTTTTCCTCTCTTCCTTGTTCCCTCACATTGGTCACTGAAGTGTGGACGTTCATGCACATACACTGACTGGAGCATGAGGGCTAAGACTTGGCAGGGCCTTGGAGTCCTTGCCCGGGCTCACATCCTGCCTCCTTACTAACTAGCTGTATAACCTTGAGTGAGTTACTTCTCGGCCCTTCAAGTCTCAGTTTCCTCCTCTGTAAAGTGGAGTTTATGATGTGCTCTTCCCAGGGATCTGTTGATTAGATGAAGTCACCCACATAAGTACCCTGCAGAATTCCAAGCACATGGGAGCCTACTGTTATGGTCCACATTGTCCCTTTCCCTCTTTTCCACATGGTGTTAGCTGCCATCAAGTTGTCTCTGACTCATGGTGACCCCATGTACGACATTGCCCAGTCCTGCGCCATCTTCATGATCTCTGGTATGCTTGAGTCGATTGTTGTGGCCACTGTGTATTTTGAATGCCTTCCAACCTAGGGGGCTCATCTTCTAGCAATGTATCGGAGAGTATTCTGTTCTGATCCATAGGGTTTTCATTGGCCAATTTTTGGAAGTAGATCACCAGGCCTTTCTTTCCAGTCTTTCTTAGTCTGGAGGCTTTGCTGAAACCTGTCTACCATGGGTGACCCTATTGGTATTTGAAATACTAGTGGCATAGCTTCTAGCATCATAGCAACGTGCAAGCCACCACAGTATGACAAACTTACAGACATGGTCACCACTATTTCCATCCTAGTTGTTGTGGATTGAATTGTGTCCCCCCAAAATGTGTGTCAACTTGGCTAGGCCATAATTCCCAGTATTGTGTGGTTGTCCACCATTTTGTCATCTTTTGTGATTATCCTGTATATTGTAAACCCTACCTCTCTGATGTTAATGAGGCAGGATTCAAGGCAGTTATGTTAATGAGGCAGGACTCAATCTGTAAGATAGGTTGTGTCTTAAATCAATCTCTTTTGAGATATAAAAGAGAGAAGCAAGTAGAGAGACA